GGTGACATAAGTTTTAATACTACAAATGAAAAAAGCCCAAGTAAAATAAATAATATTTGAGGAACAGAATGTAGAGTTAACAATGTTTATTTTAATACCAAATTTTCTAAAATGCTTCAGAGTATACAACATTTTTGGTATGGTTGCAAGGGTTTCCATTGTCATCTAGAACTAATATCTTTAATCTTGTCTTTGTCTTCACTCATGAAATAGCAACATATAGTTGACCATGTGTGAACACTGACTTGGTTAAAAATAATCCCACAAATGATAATGTTTGACCTTGACTTTTGTTGATAGTCATAGCAAAACGTAAGGCGATTGAGAATTGTCTTCTTTGGAACTTTAAGGGTAGACCTGGATCAGATGGTACCAAATTAATTCTAGGGATGTAAACTTTTTTCCCGACTCGATATCCCAAAACTACAATTGCACTGATAACATTATTTTGTAGCTCTTGAACGATTAATCTTGTCCCATTACACAATCCAGATGTTTGGTCAATGTTCCTCAATAGCATAATCGGTACCCCTTTTTTCAAGACTATTTTATGGTTTGGATTCCCGAACATTTAATTTCGTTCAAAAACTCAACTGTTTTCCAATCTCCATCAACACCTGCATCTGCTTGGTACGAAGAATCAGAACTCAAATACTCCTTTTCATCACCAGGAATGAGGGACAAAACAAAATCATTTATCATTTCAACTACTTCGAGAGTTGGTGCCAATAGTGCTCTATCCTAAAAAAAGAACAATTTTCCATATTTGCTAATATATTTGGATAAGTGAAGTTCATTATACTCTTCATAGGAGAACTTGTATCAAGAATTGAAAATTCATGCAGGAATCTCAACATCACCAACTTTATCCATCACCTGACCTAGCTTTCCATCACCCATTTTGATTATCCAATCAGAAAAGGCTTGTGTGTCCTTATATGTGCAAGAAGACGTGGATGAATGCAGTCTCTTATTACTGGTCAACGTATAAACTTTACAGTACGACCACAAATGCAAGGAATTGACCGTAGCACCTACAATTTCCTCTCTCGAAGCTCTGGGTAAAACTGGAAGGATCTGCCGAAAGTCACCTCCGAGTATAACCGTTTTCCCTCCAAATGGTTCATTTCTGTAGTTACCATTAGAGAACCCCATTATATCTCTCATTGTGCTATCCAAAGCCTCAAAAACAAATCTATTCATCATGCATGCTTCATCCTATATGATCAGACTTGCTTGTTGGAGCAATTCAGCTTTCGGGCTCCCTTGTTTAATGGCACATGTTGAACACTCAGTTAGCGCCAATGGGATTGAGAATCTAGAGTGTGCAATCCCATGGAATAACAATGTTGCAATCCCACTAAATGCAACATTCAAAACAACCTTTCCTTTTGATATAAGAGAAACGGATAATGATTTCCAGAGGAAGGTCTTTCCGGTTCCCCCGTAACCATACACAAAAAAGAAACCTCCCTTTTCAGCTACCATGACACTTAAACTTTTATCCCGTAAATAATGTTTAATAATGTCTAGAAGGAGAAATAATATCTTGTGACGGTAAACATTTATCTAAATAATGACTAATGGATAATAACTAAAAATGCTACATTGGAAATAAAAAACATATGTTGCTATTTAAGGAAAGTCATTATATTTTACTATTATTTAGGTTAATTCCTGTGACTATGAATATATATATATATATATATATATATATATATATATATATATATATATATATGGAGTATCAATTATTTCAATTGAACACAACTTAGTTGCCATTTTGATAAATGAATTACGTGTTAGATATAAGTAAATTTTCCAATTTAAAAATTATATTTGAACTTTGAATTGTTTACATTAATTATTCCGTATCAATGTCTAAATTTTTTTTCCCCGCATGCATATCTTTTTATTTTAAAAAATGTACTCACATTTTTTATATTTACCCATTTCATATCAAATTTATTGCAAAATTTTGAATTTTTTTAAATTTTTTATTATGCATATATTTTTACTCAACTTTGTAAATCTTCGTCTATTCAATTGTTTAAAATATTCTATATGTATAGACTATTTTTTTCATTAAAAATATAGAAAAATGAAATTAAATAGTCATGGTTAGACATCATTTTATTCCTATTGATGTAAATATAGAATTGATAAAAAAAACAATCAGTGAGCTATATGCATACCTAGATAAATCAACAATTTTACATTTTAATTATCCATGATTTCTATGAAATATATGAACGACGTTTAATTTTTTACGGATGCAGATTAGAATTGATAAAATAACATGACTATAATTTAAAAAGTACACATATTTTTATGTAATCTTTTCTTGGAGTGTTCATTCTCACATGGAGAATTTGTTAAATCCTTCTAAACTTGACATCTAATTTTAAATTTTGTATAAAACTTTATTTATTTAACATAAATTAATTTATCTATACTAACGATTTAGATATTTTTTAAGAATTTTTTTAATGCTCATTAAAAAGAAACCATATAAATTTTAAATATAAAAATTCTGGTCACTAAAATATCCCGTTTGATTTTGTTATTTTAAAAAATTCTAAAATGTTATGTATCAAATTACCTTAAAACAATAAAACAAAATTAAATATATTAAGATAAAACAATATTTAAAGTAAGTACCTTTTCTATGGCCTTTTTTTTGTTGAAGTATTCCTTTTCTCCTTTCTCTTGCATCTCTAGCTGATCTCGTCCATGTATCGTCAACTTGAATTTCCATAGGCACAATTGAAATTGAAAAATAGGATGCTCCTATCACCAATCATTTTAAAAACAAAAAGCTAAAGTTGAATTAACGATTCTCTGCTTCTTTATTGCATAATTGATTATGAATGTTTATGTATTGAAATGGAAAATGAAAATGGGTGGTGGATGGCACATTTCAACTCATTATATATCTCTTTTTGTAATAATTTTTTGACTCAAGTATATAAGAGTTTCAATAAATTTGGATATAAAAGTGAGCAATTTAACTCATTGCCAATTAGATATATAAGTAAGGAATTCAAAATAATATTGTGTCTATCCTAGATATAACGAATTTCTTACTAAAAAACAAATCCAGGATAATATTATTGATTATCCAAGATACATAATTAATGATTGCCATATATAAGTAAATGGATACAAAAATAATATTAATATTACCCAACATACATAATATAAACAAGGTGATGAATAATATACTCGTGATCATAATTTCCAAATTTAGTATTTTTTAGGATTGTTTCTTAATAATATTTTTCGTATATTTTGTCAATTCCCATATGGTAAGGAAATAATCTATTCTTGGAAATCATATCATACCATTCCTGGCTATGCATGAATCATTTTTTAACGCACGGCTCTATTATAAGAGTTTCACATTTAATTATTTACTTACCTTTAGTATTTTAGGAAGGACTTTATTACGGTGAGAATTCCTTGTTACTTAGGAGAGTTTCACATTCCTTGGAATTTCTATTAGTATAGGTACTCTATTGATTTCAATCTATATATACACGAATTTTCATTAATAAATCTTTGTTACTTATTAATTTAAGTATGAAATTTATAAATATGGAAGTAAGATGAAGGATTAATATATGTATCATGATTCTAAAATTCTATGTAAGTTAAACGAAAATTATTATATTTCTCTTTTATTTTTTAAATAGTATTTATATTTTTCAAATTTATTTTTAATTGTTTATATTATCCTCGTAATAGGAGTTCGTATTGTTGTAATCTGAAAACATATATTAACATATAATATTATTGATTATCCAAGACACATAATGAAGGATTTCCATATATAAGTAAACGAATCCAAAATAATATTAGTATTATCCAACATACATAATATAAGTAAGGTGATGAGTAATGTACTCGAGACCATCATTTTCAAATTTAGTATTATTTACGATTGTTTCTTAATAATCTTTTTTGTAAAAAATAATATTCTAATTTTTATTAATATAGGTACTCTATTGATTTTAACTCTTATTATACACGAATTTCATAATAAACATTTGTAACTTATTAATTTAAGTATGTAATTTTTAAATATGGAAGTAAGATAAAGGTTTAATATATGTAGCATGGTCCTAAAATTATATTTAAATTAAATGAAAAATATTATATATTTTTTTAAAATAGTATTTATATTTTTTCATGTTTATATTTAATTATTTTATATTATCATCATAATAGGAGTTCGTATTGTTGTAATCAGAAAACATATATTTATATATATTCCTTTTTTTGGGTTATAAGTATACATTATTTGCAGATTTTCAGCCAGCGAACATCGAAGGAATTTTTTTTTGAAGCCAACGATTCCTTTTTTGAAGACCAGCAACTATCGAAGAAACTTCTGTGTTCACGTGGAATAACCGATTAAAGGATAGGGAACTCCGCTGGTGCAGTGCGTAGCAAATTTTCTTTTAATTTTACTATTATTACGGGCTCGCTGACATGTTCAATTTTTGCCAAATAGGCATGCCAAATGTCACATTCCCATGAATCTGAGTCTCCTTTATTATATTAACGGATTTATTGAAATAAATTATTTAAATTGAATATTATTGATTGAATATGAGAGTACTTTTAATTATATATCAATTAATTCAATTTTGACTCTGTCAAAGTCAACACCTAAAAATATGATGCCAGAAAAAGTATTTCAAAAAAATATAAAATTATATCATTGTGTAGAGTTTGACTGTCTCATTGCAATGGTGCAATCAGATTTCAATTTGAAGAAAATTGGACCAAAACGTGTACCCTTATTAAGATAAATTAATCAAAATAGTGGAGGAATTAAAATAATGCAGTCGTCTTCTCCACTTCCTCCACTCATCTACTTCCCCTTCTTCACCTATAAATGGAGTCTTATTTCTTCTTCAATTCTCCGCCAAAATTCTTCATTCTTCTTCCTATAGTTTCATTAGAGTATAGAGAATAGACCGCAAGTGATCGTCATCGACAAAGTTGTCTGAGGTAGCCACGGTTCTTGCCGGAAATTGCCCTGGAAAGTTGAATGAAGAAAACATCGCCTGTGCAAATCAGCCCACTTGTGAGCATTTTTACACCCTCTAAACGTCGTTATTTTAATCTTGTTTCTAAACAAAATTTGTATCCTTATGTCTTACGAATCCGTAGCTTCAAACGGTCCGCGATTTCGTTGAGTAACGAAGGAGATATGACCCAAAAACCGGTGCTGGTACAGTAGTGACGGGAAGTGACGAGTTTTGTGATTTCGCTCCCGTTCGTTCGTTGAGCTTCATCTCGTCGATTTCCAGGTCTGTACCATGATTTTAAACAACTTTAGAAGGCATTGGAATGATCCTTGAACTTATTGATTCATATATATTTGAAAATATAAATATTTTGATATTCATAATTACCAAAATCTTTTGTTGTTAAAGCTTCAAACAAATCATTTGTGAATGATCTATGGACGTTAGAAAACATTTTTTTATGAATTTAGTTTAAAGCTTAAAAGTTTTTATGGTGTTTTGAGAAATTGGATCGAAGGTTGAAGATGATGAATAGTACCTCTGTTTTTTCCTGCGAACGACTGTGCAGATCCAACGGTCGACCGTTATGAACATTTTAAGTCTGAAAAAGCTATTTTTGAAGATATAAAATCCTATTTTTGATACATCAATATAAAGACAATTTTTTAAGTAAAAAAAAGATGTTTGGACAACTAAAAAACCTTATATGATATATGACGATAAGCTAGGGTGTTAATACTTGATGCTAGGCCGCTATTTGTTATTGGATATTGTGATGATTATTATTGATGTTGTTTATGATTAGACTTTGATGAATATTCTTATTAAAATAATAATTATGAATGATTAGATCATGATTAAAAATGAATATATTGATGATTATGAAAATGATGTGTATTGTTAAGGATATCTAGAAGAACTCTAAGATATACCCACATGGAAATTGATGATGATTATTAAGGATATCTAGAAGAACTCTAAGATATACCTCTTTGACCAATTCATAATTCGGGGTTAAAACGTACGTACGGGATCCAGACCGGAGATCACTCGCCCGACAGTTCACTGTTTGGTTAATACGTAATCCACATGACTCGTAGGGTGGATTATCGATTCTTGTGTTCTGCCTTAAACCATTTATAGTTTAAGAGCCCGGTTAGAAATATTGTCTTAGACTAGTTATAGTTTAAGAGCTATGTTATCAATATTAATTTGACTTAGACTAAAAATAGTTTAAGAGCATTGATATGATTTAGCCTTAACTTAGAATAAGTTAGGAGCAAATTGTGATAAAATTTGATATGAAATTATGTTTAACAAATGATGAATATTGTGATAATAAAAGTGACATGTGATTATTGTGAATTATGGACTGATTACTATATAAGTTTGGATGATGAATCGACTATGTTCATTATCCTTGTTAAAATAACAAAGACGAATTTAAACATGAAAAAGAAATGTTTGAACACATATGATTGGTATTGTTTAAGAAAATTATTCTTTGAATTCTTTTGTTGTGCCATGGTACCATTCAGCTTCATTGCTGAGCGTGTAGACTTTTTCATCTTTCTATACGTAGGTATGAGAGAAAATAAATATGGAGCCTATTCTGGAGATTACTGAGATGGAGGTGATGTGTGGACGTGCACAAATCTACTATTTAAGTAAATGATTTTATCACATGGTTGACCATACTCTTGTAGTTTGCAAATTGCTTCTGCACTGTTTTAAATAATTTTACTCTGATGTTATTATGAAATATTTTGCACAATTGTTGAAATAAAGTTTTTAAATGTTTGAAATTTTTACGTTACCAAGTTTATACTTTAGTTCGAAAGAGACTGCAGACCTGGACGAGTTAGGGTGTTACAGTTTGCGGTTATAGGAGCATTGGCAAATCCATAATGTTTTTCGTGTCTCATTGTTGAAGCCATTCATCAAGCGTGAGGGCCTTCCTATGCCCCTCGTCACTATCGGACGCATTTGCCAAAGGTCAACCGATATCTACTCTAGTGCTAGTCCTCTGCAACAAAACAATTTTGGTTAGTAGAGAGCCCAATAACAATGGTTGATTTGCTGGTCCGATGGTTCGCCCACAAGTGATTCTTGGGAGCCCGTCACCGAACTCTTGGCGCCATTTTTTCGGACTTTGCCTTGAGGACAAGACTGATTCCAACCCCGGGGAAGTTGGTACGAACCAATGCCCGAGTTTCCAAGCTAAGATAAAAGAATTGCCGGTGTCAGTAGCATCGAGTCGTCCAAATAGAAACCTGGGTCTGCCGTGCAGAAGTATCAAGACTATGTTTGATTTAAATTTGTAACTAGATTTTTACTAGGTGGGCGAAATTATAAGCTCATTTAGCAGTTTCTTTCAGTTATTTATCTTGATGCCTTTTTTTGAATTGACAGGTTATACGACTAGTTTCAATAGAACTCGGAGAACTCTTTACAATATTCACAATAGAACAATGTTGTAACACCCCGAAAACCGGTCTAGAAGTTATTCGTTAATTAAATAAATAAGAATTATTTATTTACAACAACTTATTCTTTAAAGAATAATTAAGATACTTTGGAGATTCTAATCGTCTCAAAATAACAAGACTAATCTAAGTAAAATTGTAAAGATTTAAATTAAAAGACGGATCGGTTCTAATTATTCGAAAGAATTAAGGTGAACCATGTGAAACTTATAAATATTTGTGGGTTGGTTATAAAAGTTACTGTATTGAGTAAGGATTGACGAATTAGATCCAACGATGCGAATGGATTTCATTTCGGATCAAGTTAGCCGGAAAAATGTGTTTTAGGCCCCGTTCCGTTCAACTTATTTTTTCTTATTTTTTTTATTCTTATTAAAATCAGATCAAATCAGACCAGATCAAATCAGATCGAATCAAATCAGATCAGATCCAATCAGATCACACCAGATCCAATCAGATCAGGACTTATTAAAATCAGATTCCATCAAGAATTATTATTATTATTGTTGTTGTTGTTGTTGTTATTATTATTATTATTATTATTATTATTGTTCTTAAAAATGAAAAAAAAGAATAAACTTTAGAAATAGGTTAAATAGAAAACTGAGAAAGTAATCCTTAATTATTAGACGTCGGAAAAATTAGTTTTAAAATACATTGACAATGTCAATCTAATTCTACTTTTAAAATATATTTTTATTGCTTTTTGTAATTTGAGTTTCTAAAGTTTTGATCTTTTATAAGGATGAGATATTTTAATAAAAATACTATCTCTTCTATATATTGATTATCTAAATTTAATTACTTTTTAATGTATATCTAAATTAAATATTTATTCTAATGTATATATGAAGTAATTATTAAAATATTAAATTAATATTCTAATTTCACAAAAAAATATTCATAAAATAAAAAATATTATTACATTATAATATGAATAATTATTCTAATATATGAATTAACTATTTTTATTTTATTAAAAAATAATAATTAAATAAAAAACACAGACACTTTGTGTCTGTGTGTGTCTGTGTTGGCTTGGTGTACACTTGGGTACCCCATGTTGGTGTGCATTGCCCTAATTTAAATTTACCTGTTGCAAAACCCAAAAATACTCCCTCTTCCGATTTCTCTTCTTCCATGAGAACCGCCGCCAACCATAATCTCTTCTCTCTTCATCGATCGGCAGCACACGACGACACCGGCGGCGTGGCAAAGACGATGGAAGGCGATGGGCGGCTCAGCAGCAGCGGCGGCAGAGGGCTCTCCCTCCCCCTCTCAATTTCCGAAGTTGACCTCAGCCAGCGGCGACGACGAACCAGCGGCCCCCGGCGAATCCTTGTCCGGCGAGCAACAGAGATGGCGTAACAGACCCGGCGCTGCTACTCCTGATATCGAACATGGGATAATGGTCTTGAAAGATCCATTCTCGTCTGAAAAGGTTGTTGAATCCCGCTTTATAAACTGGCCTTGTGGTCGCACTCAAGAGGATATCCACCATGTTGCGGCCACGGGTGGGTACATTCATTATCTGCTTTTGGCCTCCAAAGAGGCCCTTCAGCTTTGGAGGCTCAGTGATTATGCTCGGGGTGATTGGACGTTGGTGCAGAAGCTACATCTTAACGACAATGGGCTTTTGCGCGTGGTTAATTTTACGCATTTTATCTACTTGCATCCATTCAAGCCCGAAGTAGCAATTTTTGTGACGACGAGGCGCATATTTTTGGTGAATATTGAAGAGAAGAAAATTCTGGAACAAGGGCAGTACTCTATGTCCTCCCTAATGTTGGAGTATCCACTGGTCATCCCGTGATGGCCGACATCATTTTTGAGTGAGTTATACTAGTTTGTTGTGTTATACTCCACTCTCTATGCACATGCTATATTACTATATGGTGTGTGGGTGTGGGTGTGACTCATAAGTTTCAAACTTCAATTGGCAGGGAGGGAAAGGGAGAGGGTCCATGAAATGACAGGGAATGAAGAGGGTCAGAATGTGCCTAATTGAAGAAGACCAAATTGAAGAGGGGCATTCTGTGGAGTATTATGGGCATTTACCATTTGACTGATTGATTGAAGAAGACCTTTTACCTTACCTTTTCAAACGCTTACCGCAATTAGCAGACTGCCTAAGGCCACATGAATCCTATTTTCCCTTAACTGCCTCTGTTCATCTTTGTTTATTTAGCGTGAACTTGATCTTATTGCCAAGATGTTGGCTCTTCTTGCAAGAAAACTTGTTATGTTGACATCTGTTTCTTCCTCGTTTTAGCTTTTGACTAAATCATGACATTGGTATGTTCCACTTTTTTTCTTCTTTTGTATTATGGAGTTTTACAGCATTGATGTTTTGCTGCTATGTTGCTATTTTGCGTCTCGTATCAAGAGTTTAGACTTTTATAACCATTTTGACTTTTGGTCATTTTTATTGGTGATTGGTTGGTAAATGGTGTAGAAAAAACGAAGGGGAAGAAAGAAGAAAAGGGGGTGATTATCAAGGAGAAGAATGGTTATAAAAGTCTAAACTCTTGATACGACACCCAAAATGGCAACATAACAGCAAAACATCAATGTTGTAAAATTCCATAGTACAAAAGAAGAAAAAAAGTGGAACATACCAATGTCATGATTTAGTCAAAAGCTAAAACGAGGAAGAAACAGATGTCAACATAACAAGTTTTCTTGCAAGAAGAGCCAACATCTTGGCAATAAGATCAAGTTCAGGCTAAATAAACAAGATGAACATAGGTAGTTAAGGGAAAATAGGATTCCTATGGCCTTAGGCAGTCTGCTAATTGCAGTAAGCATCTGAAAAGGTAAGGTAAAAGGTCTTCTTCAATCAATCAGTTAAATGGTAAGTGCCCATAATACTCCACAGAATGCTCCTCTTCAATTAGGCACATTCTGACCCTCTCCATTCCCTGTCATTTCATGGACCCTTTCCCTCCATGCCAATTGAAGTTTGAAACTTATGAGTCACACCCACACAACAAACTAGTATAACTCACTCAAAAATGATGTCGACCACCACGGGATGACCAGCGGATACTCCAACATTAGGGAGGACATAGAGTACTGCCCTTGTTCCAGAATTTTCTTCTCTTCAATATTCACCAAAAATATGCGCCTCGCCGTCACAAAAATCGCTACTTCGGGCTTGAATGGATGCAAGTAGATAAAATGCGTAGAATTAACCACGCGCAAAAGCCCATTGTCGTTAAGATGTAGCTTCTGCACCAACGTCCAATCACCCCGGGCATAATCACTGAGCCTCCAAAGCTGAAGGGCCTCTTTAGAGGCCAAAAGCAGATAATGAATGTACCCACTCGTGGCTGCAACATGGTGGATATCCTCTCAAGTGCGACCACATAGCCAGTTTATAAAGCGGGATTCAACAACCTTTTCAGACGAGAATGGATCTTTCAAGACCATTATCCCATGTTCGATATCATACCAATTTAAATTTCCTTGAAAAGCGAAAGCCTTTGCATATGAACATGACCACGCATCAGGCTGATAGCTGCACCGCTTAACAGTCCATCTCCATGACTCTGACGAAAAACTCATCAAGGAAAGTGCTTTGACGTTTCCATACCATCAAAATTGAGAGGGGAATGAAATAGAATTCCCAGTCAGAGGGGAACATCAAAGAGGAGAGGGGGTTCCGGGACCTGAACCCATTCCCCTCTTAGGAGATCACAAACAGACAAGGTATCTCCCACTTTGGGCAAACTCTTTTCTCCTTCTTCTGAAACCCTTGAACACCAAACAATATAAGCCCATCACAATCCGAAATAATAAAATTGCCGTCTTCATACAATTTGGGGTAATCAATCAATCTCATATCCAGGAAATGCTCTGAAATTGCGAGTGAGGCCACCCTTGGAAAGGCCGGGAGAGATAGACAAATAGTTGGAGCAGATTCACCCTTTGCGAGATTAAGCGAACGCGCAACAAATCCCTACGACCTAATTGAGTTTTGAATGTAGCGCTGCTTGAAAGTGTCGCTGGAGATCATAGCTGTCACGGTAGCTGACTACCGACTGGGCAGTAAGGCCTACCGTTCGTCCGGTACCTAGGTAACAAACGGTCACAGCCACCGCCAGAGGGGAACGGAACAAAGAGAGTATGATGGTAGAACAGTACCGTCCTGGCGGTACCGCCTACCATATGACAAAATAATTTTTCCAACTTCTTACTTGTTTTGTTTTTCAGCATCAAATCAATGACAATATCATAACAACAAATACCAATAAGTTCATATTGACGTTCTAAACATTATCAAGTACTTTAACTCGTAATCAACGCCTAATCATGCGTACTACCCTATTCGATTAATATAATTCCCGAAACTACAATCAAGCAATTCCACGAATTAATTCACACAGATCAATCATGATAACAACTATGAACGGAATTTCAAACATATATGCACATTCTAGTGTTAGATGTCCACGTACTCACCTAGGTTTGTTTTGATTCAATTGAAAGAAAAACACTGCAGATCGAGCGTCGACGAAGGCCGTGCCACCGCTGCCTGATCGTTTGTTCCTCACCGCCGGAGGTTGCCAATATACGGCCCGGCTGACCGAACTCGACATCACTGCCCGACGTCAACCCAGGAGTTGCTGGGTCTTTTCCACCACCAATGCAGATCGCCAGACAGAGATGAAAAAGTCCTCGGAGCAACAACATCGTCATTGGAAGCTGTTCACCGGAACAGAGGCCGCCCTGCTGCTGACCCGCCGTCGCCGGAATCAGGAGTAGCAGCACCGGAATTAGGGTTAGACGAGATGCGGCAGCGCTTATGCACGTTCTGGTTTTGAATATGTAACTTGTTTTTCTTTCTCCTTACCTTTTTTACGCGATTTCATTAGATATTTGATAAAATAAATTTTTTTTATCACCTCTAGTTTTTTTAAAATAAAGAAATAAATTGCATTAAAGAGGGGATTATGCATTCCCCATCAAAGAAACTTATTTATTTATTTAATGGAATTTATTTGTTTTTTAAAAATAATATTCTCCAAATATAATAAAAAGAAACTTATTTGCAAAGAATTAATTGTTATTTTAAAAATTTTAATACATGAACAATTTTATTTAAATTAATCTTATATTTTCATAAAGAAACATGTTCTTTTTGTTATTTATTGAACATAAATATATTGTTCTAAAACTTTTAAGAAAACAATTACTAAGAAGAGAAGGTATAATTAACACGTAGGAGAGAGAAAGCCAACATGGATGTCACCTCATCAAAAATTCGCCGGATTGTATCAATTCCGATGAAGGGGTATGATTTTGTTATAGATTTGAAAGTTGGGGTACCTTTTTGTTACAAACGTAAGATGAAGTACCTTTTTGTTACAATTTTCAAAGTTGGGGTACCTTCTCTGAAAAAGCCCCCATTATATATTTATACTTGGTTAATTACTTCCACAAAGTATTTGGTCGATTATGAATTTATATTTTTGTTCGAATCATTTTTTTTGTTAAGTATTTATTATTTGTAAAGTAGTTTTTTACGTATTTGACACATTGTTCATTATTGTGGATTTCAATATTCACTTGCTCATTCTTTTAATGCTTATTAGAATTTTTTATTTACGGATTTAAAAACCGATCAGACATCACACAGAACTAATAACTGGGTCTAGGGTCAACCGGATTGACTCAAGTCAACGATCCATATCCTAGTATAACATTTTGAAATTTATGTTTATATAAAAATATTGGCAAGTTTTTTGAACTACTTTTAAATATAACAAAATATTATCACATAAAATAAGTATACTGATTATTATAAATAATACGAGGTTTACTCAAAAAATTACAAAGCATTACAGTTAGATGTAGATTTTTTTAAAAAAAAAGGTAAAAACACGCCATAAATTAAAAAAGAAATATATTTTACATACTACTTGCAAATGCCAAACATTTGATTTAGGGGCTGTTTGTTTCAGCCTCTTAATGGTTCAGCAGTTAATGGTTCAAACTGTTTGTTTCAACCTCTTAATGGTTCAAATGTTTGAATGGTTAAGAGATTTGTGTCTGAATGGTTAAGTATTATACAGAGTCTGAATGGTTAAGACCTCTTATCTGAATTGATCAGACATTTGCCTCTGAATAGTTAAGCAATATACTAGCTGTTAATGGTTCAGACCTTTTTTACTGGTTCAGCAATTATTGTTCAAACCTCTTACTGGTTCAGCACTTACCTATTTAGAAGTTGTCAAACAACCCTTTAGTCTAGATAGCTACAAACTTTGAATTTAAAGGTGAGAGAGATTTGATGATTCAAACTTTCTACTTGTTCAAAAATTCGGGTTACACGAGTCTAGAAGATGTGGCATGCTTTAGGATATACTAACGGGTTGTTTGGTACTTGCATTAGCAGATATCAATTTTTTTGATCGATAAGAAAAAGAAATCAAAATTTGAAATCCTAAATTATCTAAAATCTTATTTTCACGTAAGGTACCCCAACTTTGAAGATTGTAACAAAAAGGTATCCTATATTACGTTTGTAATAAAAAGGTACATCATCTTTTAAATATATAGCAAAATCATACCCCTTCATCGGAATTGATACAATCCGGCGAATTTTTGATGAGGTGACATCAATGTTGGTTTTCTCTCTCCTACGTGTTAATAATACCTTCTCTTCTTAGTAATTTTTTTCTTAAAAATTTTAGAACAATATTTTTATGTTCAATACATAACAAAAAGAACATGTTTCTTTATGAAAATATAATATTGATTTAAATAAAATTGTTCATGTATTAAAATTTTTAAAATAACATTTGCAAATAAGTTTCTTTTTATTATATTTGGAGAATATAATTTTTTATTAAAAAAATAAATAATTTGCATTAAAAAAGTAAACAAGTTTCTTTGATGGGGAATGCATCATCCCCTCTTTAATGCAATTTATTTCTTTTTTTAAATAAAGAAACTTATATACGGTGTATATAAAGTATAAGTTTATACTTTATTGTTCAAAATTCTATTTCTTTTTAAATAATTTCTTTTAAACTTTTTTTTAAACTTATATATATAATTTATTTATATATATAATTTCTTTTTTTAAATTTATTTCTAAACATGGATTATAAAAGTACAATTTCTTTTTTTAAAATAAAGAAATAAATTGCATTAAAGAGGGGATTATGCATTCCCCATCAAAGAAACTTATTTATTTATTTAATGGAATTTATTTATTTGTTTTTTAAAAATAATATTCTCCAAATATAATAAAAAGAAACTTATTTGCAAAGAATTAATTGTTATTTTAAAAATTTTAATACATGAACAATTTTATTTAAATTAATCTTATATTTTCATAAAGAAACATGTTCTTTTTGTTATTTATTGAACATAAAAATATTGTTCTAAAACTTTTAAGAAAAAAATTACTAAGAAAAGAAGGTATAATTAACACGTAGGAGAGAGAAAGCCAACATGGATGCCACCTCATCAAAAATTCGCAGGATTGTATCAATTCCGATGAAGGGGTATGATTTTGTTATAGATTTGAAAGTTGAGGTATCTTTTTGTTACAATTTTCAAAGTTGGGATACCTTCTCTGAAAAAAGCCCACTATATAGTACCTTTGACAATTAGCAAGCCTCATTGCACAACAAAGGAAGGAGCAGTCTCGCCGTCCATCCAGACGGCCAGCATTTTGCCCTAGATTCTGTCTAGAGCCTTTTGCTCGAGTGACTAATTTACACCACCACAACACAATACAAAATTTATGAAAATAATGAATTGTCAGGAATCGTGGACATCCTTTTTTGTAGAAACTATGGTGTCTTAAATTTCAAAATATACTCAGTAGAATATGCTACTTGATACTCCACTTCTTCCGTGCAAAAAATTTACTCTCTCCGTTTCACAAAACTCTTCCTCTTTCGTTTTTTTGTTTTCCACAAGACACTTTCACTTTCTATTAAAAAACCACTTTTACCCTTACTTTTTCATACCCTATCTATCACATCATACTTTTTCACAAATAATCAAACTATCACATCCATAGTTTTAAAAATCAGACCGGATTGGCCGGTTCGAACCGGAAACCGGTGAACCAGTGACCAAACCAGTCCGGTCCGGGCCACAAGACCGCCTCAGCAACCAACCGGCGCGAACCGGTGAAAACCGGCAGAAACCGCCCGGTTGAACAGGAAATCAGTTTTTTTTTTTGCGAGAAATCAGTTATCAAACAAGAGTACTTTAACTAAGGTGGTCGCTAGGTAACATGGAGATCAAGAGGTGTTGTGTTCAAATCCTTATAGGGTAATGTTTTGGACGATTTTTCGCAAAAAAAAAAAACTGATTTCCTGTTCAACCGGGCGGTTTCTGCCGGTTTTCACCGGTTCGCGCCGGTTGATTGCTGAGGCGGTCTTGTGGCCCGGACCGGACTGGTTTGGTCACTGGTTCACCGGTTTCCGGTTCGAACCGGCCAATCCGGTCTGATTTTTAAAACTATGGATGTGATAGTCTTGTTTGATAACTTGCGTACCTGGGAAAAATATAATCTCTTCGTCCTAGAGTATTCGTCTAGTTTTGACTTTTGGAACTGTTAATCTAAACACTTTGACTCATCAAATTATCTCAATGTGTAAGCCTAAATATAGTCATGTATGATATTGTTTGATTTGTCTTAACATATAGATTATTAATATATAATTTCTATAATTTTTTTAATATAGAAATTACAAGATAAAATAGATTAAAGAAGTGTATTAGATGGTGTGTAAAAATGAAAGTGGACAAATACTCTGAGACGGAGGTAGTAATATATTTTCTGAGTAAAAAAAATTTCTAAAATGATTTTTTTTCATAAAACATTAAAAAATATACTCCTTCCGTCCCTGGGTCTTTGTCCATATTTGACTTTTTTCTTTCAAAAATAATAAAATTTGACCTCAAATTATATAAAAATGATATTAGATATTGATACAAAAAGAGTTTTCTTAGATTTATTATATCAAATATTTTAAAAATATTATTTTATTTCATTAAAATACAATATATATTTTATTTAATTGTAGGTCAAAGGTTAAAACAGTTAACTGAAAAAAGTCAAAACTAGACAAATATTCAGAGACGAAGGTAGTAATATTGTAACTATGATTTAAACTTTTAACTACTCCGTATTCTACAAATACACAATACATATCAATGAAATATTTAATTTAAATAAGTTTTGAAAATATTGGACAAATTATTGAATAACTAAAATCTCCTTCTATTTTATAAAATTTTTAATATAATTTTTTTAAATATTTCATTGTATATAATTTTATCAATTTAATGCTACTATTCAAATTAATTAAATTGATTATAACTTTAGTCATATATCATAAATAACTTATTTTCAATAGAAGAAGTATTATATATATATATATATATATATATATATATATATATATATATATATATATATATATATATATATATATATATATATATATATATATATATATATATAATTTTCAAAAATGTTTTAACCACTGGTTCGACCATTCGAACCACTAGTTCGACTAGTGAACCAGTACC